CAAGGGAATTTGGTGGTACCCCTGGGACGCGTCCATCATGCTTAGCAATTGACAGCAAACAGTAGAGTCGACCAGCTGGTCGATTCTCGGCAGGGGATAGTGGTCTTTCGGGCAAGCTAAATTTAAATCGCGAAAGTCAATACACATACGCCACTTATTTAGTGCTTTCCTTACCATCACCGTGTTTGATATCCATTATGAGAATTGAATTTCTTTGATATGTTTGGCTTTCAACAATTTGTCCACCTCGACTTCTATGGCTTTGTCGATTTCTGCGCCATGGTGTCTAAGTCGTTCCTTCACGGGCTTTTTCAGGGGGTCGACATTAAGCTTGTGCTCCATGACATCGGGATCGATTCCTGTTAGCTCTTCAGGGGATAAAGCAAATATGTCCCTGAATTCTTTCAGCAGTCCCACCAATTGTCGACGTAACACTTCTTCCAGTTCTCGCCCTATTTTCGTAGTCTGCTCCTCTCTCTCCTCGATTTGAATTTCCATTAATTCCTCGTGTGGCTCAAGATCACTTTCCCTTCGTCTTTTTTCATTTGACACCGACTTTTTTCCTTCTTTCACCTCCGTTCGTTGGTTTGTCCTTACTGCAATCTGATAGCAGGTTCTTGACAGCCTCTGGTCCCCTCGGGCCTCCCATACCTTATCCCCGACGGGGAACTTTAGCTTCATATGATAGGTTGACACTACTGCTTGGAATGTGTTGAGTGCTGGCCTTCCCAGAATCACATTATAAGCCGACTCGACGTCGACCACGACAAATCGCACCATTTTCACCTTCCTCAAGTCGCCTTCCCCGAGGACGACAGCGAGAGTGGTTTCCCCCAGGGGTGCGACTTCCGAGCCATTAAATCCAAAAAGTGAAGTGTGGAGAGGTGAGAGTTCAATGTCGAGTTCCATTCGCTTAAGGCAATCGAAAAAAATCACATTCACCGAGCTCCCTGTGTCGACAAAGATTCTCTGGACTTCATAGCCCGTTATCTGAGCTGTGATCATCAAGGCATCGTTGTGAGGTCTCTCGACCGCTCCCATGTCTACTGGTCTGAAATTCATCACTGGACCATCTTCCTCGACCTGTTGCACTTCGGTCTTTCCGTGATGCCCTCGAGCATATGCTTTTCTAGCTCGATTTGAATCACCATCGGTTGGCCCTCCGAATATCATATGAATTACTCCTCTTTTCTGGGGAAGCTCCTCCTTATCGGGTGTTCTTGCCCTCTTGTGCGGGATTTTGCTTCTCTCCCCTCGCCGACTGGTTCGTTCTCGATCTTTATAAACGAATTTCTTCAGATGGCCTGCTTTGATTAGTCTCTCGATTTCGTTCTTTAGGTGCCGACATTCATCAGTGTTATGGCCGTAGTCTTTGTGAAATCGGCAATACAGGTTACTTTTAGGTTTTGTCGGCCCATCTTTTCTCGTCCGTGGCCACCTG